AACCCTGGTTCCCCCCACGACCATGCAATGAGCCAGCTCTTACTATTGCATTTCCCAGAGGGAATTCAGGTCACCTCCGTAGATCCAGAGCCACAAGGGCTGGGCTTGGACTTGGTGTGGGTTCTGCATGGGAGGCCAGTGTGTAGGCACCTGGCTGCTGTGTGACCTCCTTCCAGTTAACTGCCCTCTCTGTGCCCGTTTGCTCTCCTAAGCATCTGACTCGTAGGGCTGGTAGGAGCACTGGTAAATAAGCTATGTAAAGCATTAAAGCAGAGCGTGGCATAGGAAGAGCACAATATAATACTGGCTGTTATTAAATAATGGATGCACTTGTGAAAGTTTGTAGTTTGTAAGAAGCCAGTCCGGGTCTCACATTTGAGGTTAACTGGTCCAGCAAGAGTGTCTGCGACAGCCAGGTAGGCCTACCCTGTTGTGCCCACAGCAACACAGGGAGCCCTCTTGACTACTGCAGGGGCTGGCACATCCTGTGGCCGAACTGTGTCTCCCCCAAATTCAGGTGCAGAAGCCTCAGTCCCCAGAGGGACTGGATTTGGGGAGGACTCTTCGGGGAGGTCAGACGGATGGGTCCTAAGCTGATAGAGCCGGCATCTTTCCTGGCACTGGAGATTGAACCCTGGGCCTTGCACTGACTGAGCTACAGCCCAGTGCTTTTTTATTTTTTACTTTGAGACAGGGTCTCGATAACTCACTCAAATTGCTCAGGCTGGGCTCACACCTACAATCCTCCTGCCTCAGCCTCCCAGAGTGCTGGGATTACAAGCATGCACTACCACGCCTGCTAGGACTGGTGCCTTTATGAGCATTTAACTTCTCTCTGTCTCTCTGTTTAGCCTAGGGAGTAGTTGGATGAGGACCCAGTGGGTGGTTTTGAACCCTTGTCTGCAAGTCCAAGGGCGAGGCCTGGACAGCGTCTCCAGTCCACACCAGGGAGAAAGGCTGCACTGGGCCGGGTTGCTAGTCTCTTAGCAACTCTTAGACTCTGAGCTCAGTGTCCGAGGCTGCCATGGTGGGTGACTCTGGCTCTAGAAGACTCTGAGCCGCTCTCCTGGGAAATGGGCCTCCCCAGTATTTCAGCATGGCCTAGTGCCGAGCTGGAGCACTGTGATGCTTGAGAGTGTGGGGGAAGGCAGGAGGAAGTCCTGGAGGAAGCCATGGGCAGAGCTGGTCGGGCGGAGGCGCTTCCTGGGATTCTCAAACTGCTGCCCTGCTGCTGGAGGCTGGAGGCCCTGGGAAGATCCGCTCTGCTATCTGCCTTAGTCAGCTCTGCAGGGCACTAGCCCGTTCCTTAGGAGCCCAGTCCGGGGCCCCAGGCAATGGATTCCCTGGCCTCCAGCCTGCAGTGGAGAAAAGGGGTTCAACGGGAACCCCAGGGCAGGGGTGGGGTTTCTGGCTGCCAAGAGCGGGAAGCAGGCCTGCAGCAAGGGCTCAGCGAGGTGTCATGAATGCGTGCAGGCAGGCAAGAGTGAATAAATGTGGTTCTGGGGAAGGTGGCCACACCCCCATTGGTGAACCCATCATCAAGGCTTTTACGAAGTGGCCAGCAGGCCCCACAAGCCAATACAGAATCAGATCTAAACAAAAAACGGTGCCAACAGCATTGCCCGCCCCCACCTGCTGGCCCTCCAGCACGCTCTGCCAAGCACCTCTGCCATCCCATGGCCCACCGTGCACCAAACTGTCAGCCTGTGCTACTCTTACTTCCTCACATGTAGGTGAGAACACTGAGGACACAGGGGCCACTCTGCCAGTAGACCTGGGTCTGAACCCGGCCCCACTGAGAATGCAGTGGCCGAAGCTGGAAGGGACAGGATGGGGACAAGAACCCCAGCCCGGCCGCACCCAGACTGGGCCAGCCCCAAGGCATGCTCGAGCAGCACGGGATGAGGATACCGTGGGGGTCACACTCCAGTCACCCCCAACCCCCTACCTCTCACTGCCCCTAACACACCTGCACATGCCCATCCCCTGGAGGAGGGCAGCGACGGGCCAGAGGAGCAGGTGACGGCCCTGTGGCCACAGGGATGCGCCAGAAGGAGGCCTGCCTGGCATCTCATGCCTGCCTGGCCTGGGTGCCCAGCCCAGGGTCCCACCTACAAACTCTCACTCTGTACTCTCTGGCACCCTTGTCTGTGTGCACCCAGCCCAGTGCCCAAGCCCAGCGTCCCTGACCCCACTCTAGGCTGCACCTCCTCTGCAGCAGGTCAGGAGTCTCTTAAAGGACTTGGAGCCCTGGCCTCCAGGATCCTGCTGGGGGAAGCACAATGAGGGGTGAGTGGCTGGGAAGGAGTGTTTGTCCAGCTCTGTTTGCTCCCTGGTCCTGGCCCCTGATGGTTGCATGCAGACTTCCAGGGGTGGCTGCCCCTTCTCCAGGGCCATCGCTCATTCCATCCTCACCAAAATCTGGGGGAGAGGGAGATCTTTCCACTGTTCCTGCAGCAGCAGGCCTAAGTAGGGGCTTTACACCTGTAATCCCAGCACTCTGGGAGGCTGAAGCAGGAGGACTGCAAGTTTGTGCCCAGCCTGTGCAATGAGCAACACAGCAAGACCCTATCTCAAAATATAAAAGGGCTGCATATGTAGCTCATGCAAAGGCCCTGGATTCAATCCTCACTATTCACACAAGGTAAAACAAAATACAGCACAAAACACCAAGGACACAGGCGTTGTGGCCGTATTGGTGACCAAGCACGCAGTGAGCAGAGGCTGAGCACCCAGTGCAGGTGGGTGGAGCTGACTCAGAGCTGTGGAGTCAGAGGCAGGACAGGAGAGACAGGGAGAGAGTTGGTAGAGAGCCAAAGGTTTGTGGTTGACCAAAACCAAGCCAGGGACAGATCTTCAAAAGTGCATGGCCACAGCTGCCAAGAGGGAGCAGCATCCTAAGATGCGGTTTTGCCCAGCACAGTGCTCTCTCCTTAGATGTGATCATGTGCCACACCTCCAGTGTGTACGAGAGCGGTGTGGCAGATGTCGGGACTGCAGGGCTGCCTGCTACACGGGGACCGTTCTTTCTCCTCCCACAAACTCAAGGGGTGGTCACATCCCTGGCCTTTCTGAGAGCCATGCAGAGCAGATGAACCCTACCCTAAGGAGGCTAGAATCCTCCCAGGTGTTGGGCAGGGGGACCCTCTCAGCAAGAGGAAGTCGCCCAGGGCCACTAGATACAGGGGTGCCACAACAGTGGGGTGGCACTAGGAAGCACAGCTGCCCTGGAGAAGGGCTTCTGAGCAGTGCTTGGGGAGCCAGATGCCACTGCAACACTGTGGACATGTAACACGCATGTGTGAAAGCCAAAGTCACCAAAACTGAGGTGGCTGTCACAGGGAGATCAACCAGGGGACTGTCAACCACGGGAAGCTCCCTGCTCCCCATGGTACCCATTGGCAATGCCTGCCATTTAATCGGCCCAGCACCCCTTTCTCCTGAAAATAGCACCTGGGTTTCCCCTTCAGGGAACTTGCCCTGGCAGACTTCCCCATGATAGAACACCTCCCCCCACCCAGCACACTGACTCTGCCCAGCCATTAAGCGTGTTCTATCCTCTAGCTTGCAGGGATTGGTCAAAAACGGTCATGTGATAAGCACCCTAGCCAATGAGCTTCAACCCTAGGATTTTAGAACTTCCCGGAAAAGCAGCTCTCCTTCCACTTGAAGCTGGCTTTGAGATGAACAGATCTGCCTGCTGCCGCTACCACGTGGGCGGTGTTGCACGGGGATCGCAGTAGCTCTATTCGTCATTGGCAAAGATTAGAAGTGACTAAGATGCCCTTCTACGAGATAATCAAGTGTGGCCTGGAGTACTAATCAGCGATGAAGCCACAGGAAGACATGGAGATCCTTGCAATGCTCCAGCTAAGTGAAGAAGCAGGTCTCTATGGCTGCGAAACGTGACATTCTGGAAAAGGCGAAGCTATAATGGCAGTAAAAAGATCATTGGCTGCCAGTGAGAAGGCAGGGAGGACCGAAAAAGAATCAGGGACAGGCTTTCCCGACAAGGCAGAGGGTCTCCAGTGTCTCCCTTCCCCATCTCCTGCGGCAACAAAACTGTGACTGGGCACCAGTGAAAGACCACAATTCCCAGCCTCCCTGGTGGCTGGGGACACCTCATGACTGTGTTCATGATGTGAGTGGATAAAACCGGTAGGGAGAGGCAGTGTCCTCTCCTCTTCTGACCTCCCCTCTTGCTGGCCAGAATGAGTTGCCAAGGGGCCGTGGGGATGAGGTAGACTAGGGACGATGGAGCTACAAGATGGGAGGACCTGGGCCCTGGTATCTTTGGTGAAAGAATTACCTTGGCTGAGGATTTCACTTTGAGAAAGTCACTTAGCTACCTCTCTGATGCTGAAGGAGCCATTGCTTGGGATTCTGTCACACACAACCAATCCCTATGGTCACGAATGCAGACACCCACAAGCATTGTTCTGAGTTTTCTTCATGATATAGATAAAGCACCTTTACTCACACACTCATTCACTGATTCATTCATTCATTCATTCATTCATTCAGTGAATAATAGACCAGGTTCTTGTGCTGTTCCGACTAAGAACAAGACAGACGAGATTCCCTGCCCTTGGGCATTCACATGTGAGTGCAGGGGAAACCGGCCATCGGTGCAAGAAGCCACACATGAGGGACCATAAGTGCAGGGATGCTACTGGCAACAGCTGCTGCTTACTGGGTTCCCAGGTCACCACAGCTGTCCCGGTCAGGGCTCCTTCTGTGTATTTCCCAGAGACCCAAGTGGTGGGTTCTCCTGCCCATCATCTGACCAGTGAGGAAGCGGAGACACACAGAGCCTGAAGACCCTTTCCTAGGCCACACAGCTGGCAATCGGTGATTCTGGGATTTGCATCCAAGTCTGTCAGACTGTAAAGCCTTGATCACTGGGTCTTCCTGCTCAGGCAGAAGGCAGGATGCCATGGGTATGGCTATGCTTAGTGACAGCAGTCAACCCCACCCTGAGCAAGCTCAGACCCCCTTACCTGGGCAGCGGAGTTGGGAAGTCCACCCAAGGGTATGGTCGTGTTTCTAGAAATCACGTTCAAGAGGCTCGCACGGCAGGGACGATGGGGCCAGAACCAGTGGCCCTTGCAGGCATGAGGTGGCCCAGGGGGTGCCCACCTGTTGGGAGACACAGAAAGAAGAGCTGTGACTGCCTGGGAGGGTGATCCCATCAACTCAGCCTATGGGTCCCCCATTCCTGTTAGCGACCTCTCTCCACATGCTGCAGGAAGAGGAAAGACACAGCAGCCTAGGGTCCACACAGGACAGGGACCCAGTGCCAGGTCCCTGGTAGAATCAGCCCGGAAACACAGAGATCTGCCTGACGGGGTGCATCCCACGTGCTGCCTCTAGCAAAGTGCCCTTTAGAAGGGGGTGGGGAGCTTGGTAAATGTCTCACGATTTGCTCTGATGGAAAACGTAACTTTCTATGTCTGAGTGGGAGGAAATACCACACGTCTGTCTATTGGAGGAAAGGTCTTTCCCCTATGACACTGCATTTGTGGGCTGCTCCAGCCAGAAGGACCGATCTCTTTGTTTTTCAGCTTTCACGATGAGCTACATGCCAGCCTTTTTAAAAAAATTTTGTATTTTGAGATAGGGTCTCGATAAGTCATCAAGTTGCCCAGACTTGACTTGAATTTATAATCCTCCTGCCTCAGCCTGTCACAGTTCTGGGATCATAAGCATGTACACTCATACCTGGCTCCAGTGGCTCTTTTTACCCAGGAGACTGATAGCTAGAGAGGGGTAATGACTCAGCACAAGCATGTAGCAAGTTGGGGACAGGGCACAACCTATATTCTGGGTCACTCTTGACCTGTCTGTCCGAGCATGTCTCGGTTACAAGGCAGGCACCAGCTGCGTTTGGTCATGGGTACATATTTTCTCTAACCAGTCCTGGTAGGGCCCGAGCAAGAATGCTCCCTGGCTGTGATTAAGCCTGGTCAAGTTATGTGTCTGTGTGTATGTGTGTGTTGGGGGGACAGGGGGACCCTGGGCACATGCAGGGCCCACCTCTTTCCAGAAGTGCAGTCCTGGGCAACTCAGGGCTCCTCTGGGGTGCCAGTCTCCTCTTCTGCAAAACAGGACTAAAGCGTCTCTCCCCACAGTCTGCTAGGAGATAGAGTGACTTTCAGGAGGTATGAAGCCCTAGGAGACTGTTTGGCATGTAGTGACCACTCCAAAAATGTTTGGAAGGTGACCTGCAGATCATGTGTGCATGCAGCAAGAAGGAGCCTTGGATTGGGGCTGCCCATGTCCCTGCAAAGGAGTCTCCAGACACAGAATCTCAACGCTGCAGCTACGTTTCCCACCGCCCGCCTCCTCCTGCTCACAGACCTTTTTGGGCCCATCCTGCCTGTAGGACCCCCCCCCCCACGCCATGCCAGCCAGTGAGATGCAAATGTCATTAGTGCTCTGCAAGCTGGTGAGCTAATGTCACTGTCAGCTAGGAGGCAGCCAGTGCCAGAGAAGTGCTTCCCTAGAAGGGATGCAAAAGAGACAAACAGCTTCAGGAAAGAGGTGACAAGGGAGATGAGACCGTTTTAGCAGCAGGATGCGCAGCTGTGCTGGCCTCTGCGGGCCTCTTCCCCAGCATCTCTCCAGCTCGCTATGGCCCCACTTCCCTTATCTGTGAAAAGGGCGTGCTGGGCCAGCTCTCAGCCTCTACCGACTCTTGGAGCCCACTCTGAAGCCTGTGCAACAGGCTCACAGAAGGGTCCTCCGCTCCGGCCTTCCTCACAGCAGAGCTGGGAGGCTTCGTGGAGGGGTGGAAGGGTGTGAGGTGGTGAGTGGGCTGCTTCTGGCCCAGGCTTTGGGAAGGAGCAGCAGAGACACCAGGTGCAGGGGAGGTGGCGGGTGTGGTCCGACAGTGCGATCCTCCCTGCTGGGACAGAGTGGATCTGAACCCACATTAGATCTAAGGACAGAAACCTTTGATCAGTGCGGGATGCTGCCCCAAACCCTGCCTCCCTATTCGCATTGAGGCCCGAACCCAGGATGTTGCATGAACTGCGTCCCAGCCTTTCCTGACGGACTGATTAAAGAAAGGGTCTTACAGTGGGATGTGCTGTCACATACCTGTGCACTCAGGAGACTGAGGCAGGAGTATCTCTGGCAGTTTGAAGCCAACCTGAGCTACAGCAAGACCCTGTCTTAAAATATGTTTTTTTTTTTTAAAGAAAAAGTTTAAGTTGGTAAGTTGCCCAGGCTGAGCTTGGGATCCCTGTTTCAGCCTTCCAGAGAACTGGGATTACAGGCATGTGCCATCTCACGAGACTGACAGTGTTTAAAACAGAAAATAAGTTAGATAACTCGAAAGTGTGTGTCATAAGCCCATGTATACGAGAGTGCAAGCCAGCCTTTAATGGTGAGTGCCCTGCGTCTGTGTGGGGCATCCATGTGTGTATGTGTGTGGCCCTAAGCCCACGTGTGTTGCCAGGCTTAGAAATGGCAGGTAAGGAGGACATGGCAGAAAGGAAGTTGGGGCTGTGTATGGCAGTCATAGGCCACGGGAGCCAGGAAGCCTGGTCAGCACCACAGTTGTGGCCTGGCTCTGCCACCTTGCCCTAGGTCACCCACTCGCTAGGCCCAGGCACATTGCTGGGGGCACCGTGGCCTGGTCTGGTCCAATTCTTGGCTTCTAACTTCTACAGTCCCTCAGGACCCCTGCCCAGCAGAGGAATTTATTCTGTAGCATGACTGAGGTCTGTGAGCAGGCACTTGGCTTCAGATCCTGCCTGGAACCAGCTACGGGGTCAGGGCAGAACTCAGCTCTGAGCACCTGTGTGATCCCGCAGCTACCAAGCTATGGTGTAGGATAAACCAGGGCGCTTGGCAGAGAACCCAACCAATGCCCGTCCACAGTTCTGCCTCAGCTTCTCCACACTGTGTGTGTGTGTGTGTGTGTGTGTGTGTGTGTGTGTGTGTGTGAGAGAGAGAGAGAGGATATGCCATATGCCAGGCACTGAACCCAGGTCCTTCACACTGAGCGACTTCTCCAGCTAGTTTTTGTTTTGAGACAAGTTCTTGCTTAGTTGTTAAGCTGTCCAGGCTGAAATGGAACTTGCCATCCTCCGGCCTCCCAGAGCACAGGATTGCGGGTGTGCCGTGCCTGCCACCCCTGCCTGCTGCTTCCCCTCTACAAGCTCCAGCAGAGCTGTGCAGAGCCTGGAGGCCTGCTTCTCTCTCTGACTCACGGCTCACACCACAGCTGATCTTCACCTCCTAGTGCTGGGAGGTCCTTTGGGCAGCAAGGAGCAGGAACCAGGTCCAGGTTAGTGTGGGTGGGAGCAAAGTGGACAGCAGCTTTATGTTTGGGTCACTCAGCTAGCAGACTGTGACAACTTTGGGCACGGAAGTATGTGGGGAGGGTGAAGGGAGGGGCAACTGCTGGTGGCAGATGACAGGCACAGTCTTTGCCCAAGTTTGCACTGGGCTGGTCCCAAATTCGATCGAGAAGATGAAGAGTCCTGTGCCCTGGAATCCCGGGGACCATGTGCATTCCTCACTAACTGGAGGCTGCTGTGTATCTGGGGCCGAAGAGGCTCCAGGGGTGAGTGGGGCAAAAGTCAGACTTCTGGGGGGGGGACCCAATGTCTCAGGGTGTGGGAGGGGCTCATTACATAGCTATGCGCTCAGAGAGAGGAGTCCTAGGAATGCTGCTCAGAGGAAGGGAAGACCTGGGTATGTGGGATGGGAGGAGGGCACCTCGGACAGAGAGACCAGGCGAGCAAAGGCACACAGGCACCAGGTGTGACGTGAGCATTCAAGACCCTGTGGCAGAGCAGGGAGTGGGACAGGAAGAGAAGGCATGGGCTGATGATGGCTAAAGTCCACGGATGCCAGGCTAAGGATGAAGAGCTTTATCCACAGGCGAAGGGGAGCCATCAAGGGTCACAGAGCAGAGCTGTGCTTCAGGTGGACTGGAAACCCCACAGAGCCCAGGCAAGTGGAAAGAGAGGAGGTGGCCAGGAGGAGGATGGAGGCGGGTAAGGAGATGCGGGGGTGTGAGGGGATGGGATGATGACTGAGTGGGGACATGCTCAGCTACCGACTGTGTGGCTCCTGAGAAGTCACTTCCTTGGCCTCAGTTTCCCTTCTGTGAAGTGGAAAAAAAATAACCAACACCTCAGAGAGAGGTGGGGTTCAACCAGATCCTGTCTGAGAAGCACCTGGAGTACAGAGAGTATCTGGTGCTGGCTTTTAAGACGGACTTTTGGTTTTACTAAGCAGCACTGCCTTTCTTGCTAAGTTCAAGGTCACGTAACTGCTAGGATTGGCCGGCTGGGCTCTGAGCCCCGGGAGAAGGAAGTTCCGAGCAAATAACCCTGGGATGTCTCCGGGAAGAGGCCTGATTTTAAAATATTGTGACAGGAGAAGACTGTTTATGACTTCTGCACCATGTGCTTATTAAACCCCAGCTATAAACGTGAACTAATAAGTAAAACGAGTTAAGCTAATGAAAAAAATAACCTTCAGCCTGGATCCATATTACCTAATGGCAGCCCATAAACATAAACATAAAATTTTAAAATACAAGGATGAATTGCCGGGCCCAGAAGCCCAGGGAACCTGCAATTTCTCCATCTGAAAAATAAACGCGATTGATTTCAGTGGGCTGCTCACTGCTCAGGAGCGAGTCTTCGGGAAGTCATAAAGGAAGGAATTATTTCCAACTGTTTATTCACCGAGGATTGTAGGTATTGAATTTAAACTGTCTCCGATTCCTAATTAGTGCAAACCAAATTAGAATCGAAGTACCGCAGAACTGCATATGCCCTTGGAGGGCTTGGAGCTCAGTTTTCTTTGTTTTACAGACCAGAAGCTGGAGGCACACACAACAGGGAGTGACTTGCATAAGTTCACACAGGGACCAGGGCTCCAGCCAGGGCTCCAGCGCCCAGGGCCTGCTCGGGTCCCTGCAGCTTCCTGGACCAGGCCTTTGAAGTCACCTGTCCTTGTGCAGGTAGTTTGTACAATAGGGACACCCATCGTAGAGAATAAGCAACCCAAGAAGGTGCAAAGCCGGGTGCAGGTGAAGAGGATGCAGGAGGACACAAGGCTGAGCGCCCCAGCAGTTCTGAGACAGGAAAGAGTCACGTGCGTGTGGAATGGTG